GTGGTCAAGAGCAAGAGGCAGGGGACACACTGGACAGGTCACCAATCCCTCACTTGGCTGATTTGTTGTTCTTGCTTTTTTCCCAATTAGGCAGAAAAAAAAGTGGTGGTGATTTTTTTTTTTTCTTTTTGCCAAAATCACTTTAGGTAAAAATATTACTTAAGACATTATTTTTGGAAGACCACGATTTTATTTTCAGCATAATAAATAATTATTGCACAAATTATGCAGGAATCAAGATGGAGCTAACAGTTAGCCAATAGCTGTGCAGCATTCATATGACTAACGTTAGCTTGTACAAATATTTTACATAAGCTGGTTATATGTCTCTTATGTTCACTGCCTTCAGACATCAGTCTTCTGGGACCCTTTATCAGTTTGGTGGATTTTCTTTTAGACATTTCCATAATTTTATGTGCGATTTCAACTCGTCCTCTGCCGTTTTCTCTCTCTCTCTCGCACCGTTGATACAGTACGAAGCTCCGCAGGGAAATTCCATAACGGAAATGTTTACTCTAATGTGTGTTCCAACATGCACATGTGATACACCGTTGAAAAGCTTATTTTATGCACCTTCTAATACTTTTGGAATTTTTTGAATGCAGCCAACCGTTCAGGAGTTACGACACAGAGTAGGTTGGGTGTCAAATATGACACAACGGAGAATCTTTCTTGTGATTGGTCAAGCTCGTATCACAGCTTTCCCGGGTGGCTACCGTAATGTATCATATATACCCTGAAAGCGCTATGTCTCAGCTTTCCTGCACTTTTGGAATTTTTTTGATATGTTGAACTCTTCAGAAGTTACGGTAATGGGAAGTGCACAAGCTGAATCCTGTCGGCACTGACAGGTTGGTCATAAGAGGGTTAAGTTCATATTTTTAATTAGAAACAACTGAATCATAAATGCTAATAATTCAATCGTTTTCCATCCACAAAAGGTCAACAGATAGTTCCTGTTAAATGAACTACCTCCCAGAAAGAGTCGTTTTTCTGGACTAAATTTCTTCTCAGATTTTGTTTCCAATTGCAGAAATGAGGTGGAAAATGTAGGTTGGTAAGTAATGGGCCTAGTTAACTACCCTGGTTCCTGGAAAAGTTTGCTGCAGTCAAAAAGAGAGACTACTGCACCTGCTACAGCTTCCCTGTTGGGGAAATATCTGGGTCAGGCATAAATGCAGCTGGTAGAATAAATGGAAGTAAATAGAGAGCAGCTGAAACACTACACATCAAATTTTACAGCATCCAGAGCAAAGCTACGTTTGAAGCATTAGCGTAGTGTATGAAAAACAGACTGCAGCTGTAGTGTCAAGTTCAGTCAGAGATCTTTAGACACAAATCATGAAGGTGTTCAAGTTTAGTAATTTTAATGTAGGCAATGTGTCTTAAAGATACTAGTATTGACTTTATCAGACTGTCAGCATATACTTGATCATAAATTCCTCTGATCAGTATGGGAGTGGTAGGATTTTGATCAGGATGGCTTGCAAAAATATTTTTTACTAGGAGGATTGAAGGAGTGAATATTTGCTGAGTCTCTGTTTTTGCAGCTTCTCCTTGGTGGGCGTGTGTTTGATGGCCTTCCATCAGGCTCAGTACATCCTCAGAGAGTTCTCTACCCCGAGCATCCGGAGCAACCACAACTCTGTCCTGTCCCAGGAGAACAGCTCTGTCAATAACATCACCTCCAACGGAGTCAAGTATGTCCAGTCAAAAACATTGGTTTTATTCTCTAGGGTTTGTACTAAAATGCTAAAAATAACTGTCATCTTTTTATGTATGTGTGCAGTAAATCTAAAGGCAGCTGTAAGACCTACATAGACACCTGTCACACATCTGATAAAGGAAAGGGCCGGGGCTCTTCAGCTGTGGCCAACAGCCCGACCCCGCGGTCTCAGTCCTCAAAGAAAGGCTCAACCACTACTTTCCAACCACAGAAGAAGCATAAGGTGTCGCTTTATTACACCAAGCATAAGCCCAGCTCAGCCGCAGCTGCTGCTGCTGCCATGGACGAAGAACACGAGGACCTGACGCCAGACAGCCTCACCCCGGACTCCTGCAACAACAACCACCCAGCGTTCATCAGCGAACCAGAGAAAAAGATCCCCGCCGGTTTTCAAGAGGACCTCCAGGGCGACATGGAGCACAGTATGTCAGCAGCAGTTATGTTTCCTGTGGAAATAGCTACTAGGTTCCCCAACGACGCCACACTGGCTCCAGGACCCAGACCCGGTTTGTTACTCTGCAGCCTTGTGGAACGGAGCTGCTGCGAGCGCTACACAGAGAAGATCGACTCTGAGAAAAGGGACATTTCTGAGTTGGAGGTAAGGTTGCATAGGTCCAAGTATGAACCATCTGTTACTGACGCTGTAACAGATGTAACCTCTGTTGCAGCATCAGGAATTGATGCCTCTGCGTCAGGCATCAATTCCAGATGCTTCAGGAATTCATTAGCTCATTTAAAATGTCTTTGGTAACACTTTATTTGAAGGGGTGTGCATAAGACTGACATGAAACTGTCATAAACATGACACCTGTCATGAACATAAAGAAGTCTTTATGAATGTTTATGACGGTTGTCACAAAGTGTCATTCAGTAAATAATGACACTTTTAATATAAAGTTGCTCTAAAAGTTGCATTGAAAGTCCATTAAAAATACCAACTTTGCATTAAATTCATTATTTACAAAGTCATGTAAATTTGGCATTTTTAATGGACTTTCAATGCAACTTTTAGAGCAACTTTGCATTAAAAGTATCATTATTTACCGAATGACACTTCATGACAACTGTCATAAACATTCATAAAGACTTCTTTATGTTCATGACAGGTGTCATGTTTATGACAGTGTCATGTCAGTCTTATGCACACCCCTTCAAATAAAGTGTTACCATGTCTTTTTACAAATCCAGTTTGGAGAAGAAGCCAAAGAGCAGAAAAAGAAGACTCTGAATCCAGAGAGTGGAACAGCAGTGGGAAACAATAAGGGAAAGAAGAATCGCAGGATGACAGAAAATGTCTCCAGGTAGAACACACATTTTTTTTTTAAGATGAGAAGAACTGAAATTCACAACAATCGTGCCTATATTGGTGTTCAAAAGTAAATTGAAGAAAGTTTTAATTTAGCATTTTCCTGAAATTTTACTAATACAGTGTTTCTCAACCTTTTTTGGGCCAGCGCCCCTGTATCCATTGTCCAGGTCGCTTACCACCAAATGAGATGTAGGCTACTTGCTCCGAATATTATTTTATGATTACCGTATTTTCCGCACTATAAGGCGCACCGGATTATAAAGCGCATCTTAAATGAATGGGGTATTTTAAAACTTTTTTCTTATATAAGGTGCACAGCATTATAAGACAGTACAGTTAGGGTTGCCATCCTTAAAGTATGTGATTTGTACCATACTCTACAAATGTGGATGTGTAATAATAAAGAAGTGGTCCCCGAGTACTTTATATAGTAGGCTGCCCCAGTCATTGTTTCACTCACGGTGTTGGTGTTGGTGTTGCGATATTGTGCCCAACTGCTTCCTGGGTAACACAGACCAACTGACAGCTGCCACCGCAGTCTCTGTCTCTCCTCCCCCGGCTTTAAATGTATAGGGGCTGGTCCCTTGGTAACCCTAGTCGAAGCACCCCGGATGAATGTCTAAAGCCACTTTGTTGACATAAAGAATGTCAACAAAACAGTCCGACTCCGGTTGGCAAGGAGAGCCTTCTGCGACTGGGCCGGGGTGTGGACAGACGATGGTCACCCTTCTCAGTTCGCGCACAGCATGTTCATGGAGAACGTGGTGCTAAATGACCTGCAGACGACCTGATTCTAGACAGTTGGTAGGTAGATAGGTCAGTCAAACTTTATTAACAAACCAGCGTTCTGACAACTATCCCAGCATGCACTGCGCGCTTCTTCTTCTACGGGGAAAATGAAGCCGGCGGCTGCTTACCGTAGTTGCTAGACCTGTTGTGGCTCAATACTGGTCCATATATAGGGCGCACCAGATTATAAGGTGCAGTGTCTGCTTTTGAGGAAATTGAAGGTTTTTAGGTGCGCCTTATAGTGCGGAAAATACTGTACTATTACTATCTTTATTGTTGCCATCTTGATTTTTATTGTTTCTGTATTTATCATCAAAAATCCTTAAAAAGAAACACATTACTGAATTATTGGTTTCCAAAGAACAAAAACGCCATGTGAATAGAAATCATTTTTAAAGGTGTGTAAGAAAAATGGAATGGACATTCAACTTAATCGGTTGGCCTGTCACAGTAACAAATTTTGCTGAGCTATTAATTGTCTCAAAAATTATTTTCTATAAACGATAATATTGTTTGAAGACCATTTTAAACTTATGTAATGGTAATGACATAATAATGCAAGCACATGCTGCCAAAAATAAATGCACTTTATTTTCAAAAGAACACTTAACACTGGAACTGGTAAACAAAATAAAACAACCAAAAGCAAAACTAAAATGGACTCTCAGTTAGGCCTGTCGTGGTAAACAATAAATCAATTAATCGCACGATAAATGAAAATTATCTATCTCATTTTAATTTATCGGCTTTATCGTTCCTTCCTGCCTTTTTCTCATTCTATTGATGACAGAGAATGAAAAAAGGCTCAACTCCGGTGCTCTCCCCTGACCCCTCCTTTCCTTAGTTTCTTAGTGTAATGCTCAGTTCAAACTACACAATTATAGAACTGTCGGCTGATCGTCGGCCTATTTGCAAAACCTGAGACACACTAGCCCACAAAAAAATCATAAGTATAACGAGTTCGATCGTGCCTGTGGGGTGTCCAGCCAGACGGCACGAGCAACACACCACACATGAAACAATTTCTCTCATTCAGATTTCAGACAGAAAATCCCATAAAAACCCACTATATCACATATGAATTCAGAGTAAACAAACACGGCTGAATATATTGCCTTATCATTATAACCTATCACGTTAACGATGAACAGCTGAAAAGTTACCAGGTTTATCAATTGCTGTAGCAATTTTGCTCCAACCCTCTCCTTGTCAGTTCTGTGGATATTCCTCTCACGAAATGTTGAATAAACATTAATGTTGTTTCCACATATCATCTCCGAAGTCCACTGGACTTTGGGTTGCTGTTTGGGGTTCCCCTCCGTGTTTCATCTCAGAAAGCACGGAGGGGAATCCGTGCTTTCTGATTGGCTGCCTGTCACATTCAACAGCCTGCGATCTCACTCCCAGTTGGGGAAAACCCCACACGCTGCATTGATAAAACTGGCCATGACAATATAACATGTTGAATATGC